TCTGGAAAACCTGGGGTCTGGACTTCCTAAAATTGCCCTGAAATAGCAATCTTGGCAATATTAAATCATTTCGTGGTGTTGGCATTTGTGCTTTCTCTAGTATTGTAGTGTGCTAATAATATGAGCCAGCAGATGTGTTTCTGGTCACTTGCCTCCTCTATATTAACTTATTGTATACATTCCCTGCAGGGAAAGAAAACAGTTTAATTTATGTTAAATACCTTTTTCCTGAACTGTTGTATAAACCTTTTAAATACTCCATATCCTGTGCTAGGTCATAAAATATTTGCAAGCATGCTATTGTTTACAGTACAACTCAGTAATGAATAAGTAGTCCTGTGTCATTATGATTATTCAATTCACAATTTCTATTCAGGCTCTCAGTTGCCTTGAGGCTATATGTTTCCATTGTCAGTTTTGGTGTCCTGAATAAATTATTCAGCTAGTTCATTTGCAGGCAGCGGAACTAAGGGTTTATTGTCCTACACGAGCTGTTAAAATACTTGTAGAAGGGTAAAAGGCTTCGGTCTTCCCACAGGTTTTTGTGCTCTAGGTGATCTTCATAGCTCTTGCATTGGACAGAGATGATTTGCTGGTCTATATTGCTTTTGCCTCAAAAGGGTAAATGTGCTGTAACGATTCTTGAGTGCCACTGAAGGCCTTTTAATAAATATGAGCTTCTTTCATTCTTATGGCTGTGTTACTGGAGGAAGCAGAAATCATTCAACTTCACTCTTGTTTAAACACTTGAGAAAACTAGAAGTTATTTTTCCGCTTTGCAAAGCTGGTTTTACTGATCTTTCTTTAGCTGTGCTTATGAATTGCTGGTATTAAAGACATTTCTAAACAATATGCAAAAAGAAGTCTTTATAACAGAGGACGAGATTCAGATGTTGAGTCCTAGAATGAGTCTTATAATTGTGACCCTGGAATAAAGCTTTATTACATCTGCTTCCTCCCTGCTCTACTCCTTCGCTGACTGGGAATAGGATGTTGGATTTACTGTCAAATAGTGTTCAGGTCCACAAGGTGTGGAACAAGGAGACTCTCCCTGTGTGTCACACACAAAGCTTTCCTTGTTACAGGGGGTCGCTCTACTTTCTATTTTTGCAGAACCTCACCCACTAATTAATTAGGGATTCCACTCTGTTTCCCATCTTGCTGTTCTATCTGTTGCAACGCTTAATTTCGTTCTAGCGGTTATTTTGAAGTGTTACCTTTTTCATGCTCCTTCTGCTAGCTGAGAGAGGGCACTTCCCTTCCTGTAGGACATACTTTGATGTAACCTTGCCTCCTATGGAAGTGGGAATTCCTTGAGCTACTCTTCATTGACCAGAGCACCACTTTGCATTAAGTCCAACTGTCCGTTTATGTGTCCCATGTATAGTAGATAGTGTAATAGAATTGCAGTGGGGAGACGCAGGTTCAGATCACAGAAAAGTAGAGTCAGAAGGGGCCGGAGGGCCATCAGGGCCAACCCCTACTCCAAATTAAACAGTCCCTCTCAGATTGCTGTCCAGATCCTGCTTGGCTGTCCACTGGGAAACCTTGTCCCTTTGTGTGTGTCTGTACAGCTAGTCTTAACTGTCAGGAATTTTAGGAAAAAATGGAGCCAGGGGAGCCGGGGCAACCGTCTTGGTGTCTTGTAGCAAAATGGCAGCATATACAAATGAGTGACCAATAATAAGAAAAAGACTTGTACAATTTTAGTGGGTGGGAGAAAGTAGAATGTTTTTTGTGTAGGAAGCATTAACACTTTTTCTGCTGGGCGGCCCTCCATTGCTCATTCTGCTCTGCCATTTTTTAAAAATAAAATTCTTCAGCTTTTTCTATATCAGCCCTGTAGTTCCTAATCCAGGACTTCGTATGACAGACATACAGGTTTGGTGAAGACTATACTGCGAGTTCATATCTTGAGTGGCCAAGTCAATCTCAGGAGAGCATTTATATAAGATTTTCATGGTCACGTTACCAAGAAATGGAAACCAGGGTGGAGCAGTACAGACTGAAGCAGGGTTCGCAAGAGACAGGGAACCAGTTTTCTCTTCCCCCTCAATGTCCCTGAATGCATTTTCTTTGCTTCCCTTTGCCTCTATGGGAAGAGGGAATTGCGACACTTGGGGATCCTGAGCCTTCCCCCAGATGAAGGTCAAGAGGCTTCACAGCAAGACTGTGGTCTTGGGTATTTGGGGCTGTGTTCAGACCTGAGCAGCACCAAGAGCACCTGGCTCTTCCAGGCAGTCCTTTCCTGCCAGCATTCATGGACTCTGGCTTTGGGATGGGAGGTACTGATGCCAGAAAATGGCACAGATATTTTAGGAGAGTTGTTAATGCTGAGGGCATGTCAGGGTAGATTTTCTCATGTTTGCCATTAATGGCTTTTTGACTGGGGGGTGGGGACAGGGTAAGAAGATTACCATGGTCCCTTCAGCTTGTGATAGATGGCTGTGAGGAGACAGATGGCAGTGACGAGAAAACAAATTTAAGTTTTGAGATCACAGCCCAATTTTAACTTGCAGAGTTTTATGGGTGAATGTCAAAGGGATCTTGTTAAAGTTTTATGGTGCTGAGTTCTGTTTCTGCTGCAGATTGTTTCAAACTTTATTATCGATAGCTTGCAGAATAGCCCATAAAGCATCACAAAATATTGAACCTAAAGATAAGGGTAGCTTAGTGCCATGGAAAGATAAAAATAACTGAACTATAGAAAGGCTGAGGACAGATCATTTCTCAACAGAGATGCATAGAACTACTTGAACATGTTATTACTTGAACAATTTGACTATGCTAATGACAATACCAAAAGGCTGACTCCTAGAATGTCCAAGTAGGCAGATATCCAAGTTTTATTCTATCAAAGAACAAAAACTACCCAGGGTTCAAAAAACTACCCAGACAAGAGTCTTGTGGCTTCTTAATGACTAACAACTTTATTACGGCTTAAGCATTTGTGGACTACAGTCCACTTCATCAGATGCACGAAGTGTCATCCAATATTGTAAGCTTGTGTGCGTGATGTGTCTATGTGATGCACAAAATATGAAGACGTGTGTGCCTGCACACACACACACACACATATTGCAAGGGGTTGTAAACAGTGAGGCTAGAGGGAAATGGAGAAGCAGTGACTGTTCAGTCACATTGTCCAAATGCAAAAATGCAAGCAGGTAAATTCAGACATGCTGGCAGTCTGGGCGTGTGCATTGTGAGCTGTGTATTTCATCAGCTGAAAAATCCATTATGTTCTGGAAGCATGGGATGGAAGACTGCCAAGCATGTCATCATTCTACTGGACAGGCAGAGTGGTTGGAGCCATATTGTGTGCGTGCATTTTCTATTGATTACTGTAAAACAGAGTTACTCCCTTTACTTATGTAAACATGATAAACTTCTGTCCCATTGCCAAACTCCCACCTAGCCAGTGAATCCACAAAGGCACCTTTGAATCAGGAAACATGGTGGGAAATTTGACCTAATCCTGTTTCTGCTGAGAAGGCAAGAGTTTCAGATTCCACCAGGAAACAGTGACATGGGTTTAATTTTGAATGTCAGGAACTAACTTCTATGCTATTGTGGCTTGTATAGCCAGCTAGACGTAGAAACAAAGTGAGTCAGAAGGGGTGTCCTGGGCTATCTAGTCTGACCCCCGGCTCCAGCCGGCTCTGCTCATGTGATCCCCTATGCCTTTGTGTCAGGGGCAAGGAACCTTCCGAAGGTTTCTTTTCATTCTCTAGAACTATCCTTTAGTTCCCTTTGCTCTGAGCCATCCTTGGTCCAGTCTCTGAGCTATCAGCCATTTGAACTCTTAGTTTTGAGCCCCAGAGCTTCCCTGGAGTTTGAGTAGCATTTTTTAAAAAATTGCAACTATGAGTTTAATCTCCATAATAATACCAGCACACCTTGAGGGCTTGCAAAATTGGGATTGTGAAAGCTGACCTGTCTGGCAGCTTAATTCCCGCCGCGCCCCCCCCCCCCAACCATAAAGCTGCATCTGACTGCAAACAGCTCCTTGTTGTGGCAAGGCAGGAGGGAACCTTGGTGGTCCTGCAGTGTCCCCTGGGATACGGGTGGGAGGATTGAGGGGGGAGGTTGAGGCAGCCTGCCCATGAGGTGCCCAGCCATCTTTCAGGCTAATTTGAGGTAGGATGGCTTATGAAACAATGTGCATAGCTGACCACAGCATGTGTCTTGCCACCTCCTTCAAACCTTCCCATTCGTTCAGTTTGTGCAGCTTGAATGCTGAGAGTCTCATCTGTAAGAATAACCCAGGGTCTGACTGACTCTTACTGTAGCTTCTTGTGAGTGTTTCTTAGCCTGATGCTGCTCTGGTACCTATCCCATGTTTCCAGACCCAGAAACTCTGCAGTCCTGCCTTATTTGTGTAAAAGGTTTGTCTTGCATTCCCAGCAAAGTGTAACAGAGCTGAACAAAGACCTGGTTAGAGACAACTAGGTAATATCTATATTTCACACATGAAGAGCACTGAGGCTGAGACAGAACTGATTAGCACAAGGTCCATTTTGTTTTTTGCCATTTTATTTGTTATTGCTAAAATACTGGGAATTGGAAATACTTGCTAATCTAGCACAAATTACCCAAAGATGTGTCAGTAGAGCCTAATCTACAGCCCACCTTCCTTGATGGCAAAATATAAGTAAATGGAAATCAGAAGTAGGGAGTGTGGTCACATAGTGTGGAAAACACCTCAGATACAGCGCTGAATGTCTCTTAAATGACCTTCTAGCATTCCTTCCAAACTGCTAAGGAAAAGTTCATTGACATCTGGTGTCAGTGGCTTGATGGCAATGTTTGTTTTAGCATCAAAAGGCCAGGAAGCAGGATGCGTTAGTGAATAAGGAAAAGTTACTCATTAACATCCTAGCAACTCCAGATGACATGCTCCATGTGGACTGGGTCTCTATTGTATGCTGTTGTGAGAAAACTATGGAAGATTGATATTGCTGCTCAAAGAACAACATGTTTATATATCTTTCTTTCAGTTTTCACAAGACACAGTTGTGTCTGCTAAAGGAAATCTGAAATCCATTTGGCAGAACAATTTAAAACTTTAAAGGTAAGAAACTTTTGGCATATAAAAACATGAATGTTGTTGAAATATATCTTTAGCAAAGGGTTAATATGCGCACTTCCACAGTAAAAAGGAAATACGGGAGTACGAAATGTCTAACACTGTTTACAAATCAAGGACTGTGTATGAAGAAATGAATGAGATTGTAATTTACTTTGTTAATTCAAGGTGATGCATGTTTTATTTATGATGAGGTGTTTCCTTGACCATTAAGTGGTACTACAGGGGACACAGGTGTGCAAGTGACTCTCTCTGAAACTTACCTGTTCCCCTTTTTATCCTTGTCAGGGCTTTTGATTTCCCAGGAAGAATTAGTTTTGAATTAATATTTTATTAATATTTATACTGATTTTCATAATTATTAGTGTGCAGTTGCATGGAATCAATATCCAGCAAATATAAGCTGAGCTATAACCGCACATTTTGGAATTATTTGTCCAAAATTAACAATTGAACAAACTTGAACTTCTATGCTAGTATTCTGTAGTCTGCTTGTTTAAAGTTTGCTGGAATTCTCTAGCATTGCTTGCTATTTGCTGTTTGTTTTAACTTGAAAACTTGCAAACAGCTTCTGTTGCAAAATCTGGAATCTGGTTTATGAATACATAAAGAAAATATTAGAACGAGAAACCAAAATATAGGTGTGCTAGTTAAAAAGTATTGATATTATTACACTTAATATTGCAAATTAAAATGCTAACCGTTTATCATTTCTTTGTACTTTATACTTACAACAGCTCCAATAGACAGGGTAATGTTGCTCGCATTTTACAGGTAAGGAGGCTAGGTTAAGAGAAGGTGACTTTCCCAAGATGACGTAGTGGCTGGGTTCAGACAACACAGCAAGTCACTGTGTTTTACCATTGCTGGTTTGCCATTCTGTCTGAAACCAGTTATGGTATTTCACCATGGTAAATCTTATCATTAGAAAACGTAATAAGAAAATGGTTTCTCTCTACTACCATGACTTGTCCTGTTGTCTGAACCGACAATCCTCGTTTCCATGGTTCTAGTAAGCAACTACGACAGAGTTCCCTGGATGGAGTGGCAACTGTAGGATTTGCTCCAGTGATTCGGTATCTATGTGTGGCTCAGTGAGGAAGAGGCAGATGATGTAGGCAAGGCAGAATGGACTTGGGATTTAATTTCAGTTGCAGTGGCTGATGGGAGACATACCAACAGTAGGAGGACTGAGCAGGGAGGATGGAAACCATGGTGAAGTAAAGCCACTGGGTTGCTTTAAGTGTGTGAATGCAGCCAGTGGCTAAGTTTTCAGGTGATGTTCTTCCTCAGTAATCCAGAGAAAGAAACCACAGAGTTTTTTCTGGCTTGTTGAAGGAGAGACAAGCCACAGTTCCTGGTTCGAATATAATGCTAGGCAAACCATAGACAGAAGGTCTGTGGATTGTTTACTTTCTTCTGTTTGCCATGGGGATGATCCAGCTCACACCACACCCCCGCTTTTCCAGCACATACATTCTCATGAACAAGATTCATATGCATAAAGCCCACATCTCCAAATTTCAGCTATTAGAGATAAACAGGGAATGCTGTGGCTCTTAAGCCATTTGTGAGCTTCCCACATTTTCTATTGGAGACAGGATGCTGGGTACATGGAGACAAATAACCTACCTAAAGCCACAAACTGCGTACAGGGCACAGGGTGTCAAGCCTAAAATAACTAAACCACAACTTCCAAGGCATGACACATGTCACAGAAAACAAACTAGTCCATTCCCTGTCCATATAATTCCAGCCAATTCCCCTTCAGCTAATTTTGTGGTAGCCTAAGGTTGATTCTCCTGGTTTGTGTTAGATGTAGCAAGTGGCTGGGAGCAGAACTGTGTGCTTTCTGACCAGAAGTCTATGCTTGGTTTGTGCTCTGGATTTTCTATGATTATTCCAAAGCATTCTAAACTTCAGAACATTATTTCCCCTCTGCCCTTCATTCCCAAGAGAAAAAATCGTTTGTCTCGCCCTGTGCAGCAAGTGCTAATCCTCCATTTCCTTTCCTGCCTGATTAAAAAACAGGTGGCAAGACAGCAAAGAAAGGCAGCTGCTCTCTAGTCTGTTCCTCAACACCTTGTTGCAACACTCCTAGTTTGATGGGTTTTTTCTCCTCTGTAGGGGTAGGCAAGGGGGAATCATCAGGCCATAATGAAACTCCCTGCTAGTGTATTGACATGGACTTGGCTCCACACAGACCCTCAAAATAATATTTTTAAATGTTGAAAAATGGCCAGCAAGTTGCATACCAGAGTTTCTAAGATTTTTTTTTCCTTATGTCAAGAATGGTGTGTATCAGTGAACTCTCAGATAAGATCAACTCATCTGATTAGCACAATATTTTCAGTCTTCCCTTTAGATAAGCATAAATTGAAAATGAAGCTAAACATTTACCATTGCAGTCTCCCATTGTGCCAAATTTGGCCATTGATAGAGAGTATACGTCTCACACAAGGAAGACAAAGTATCCTCAGTACTATTTCTTGTCCCTAAATCTGCAAAAATGTGTAGGTTTCTTTAGTTAAGTGGTTCTTGATAAGACGTATAGGTTCTTGATTTTTGGATAAAAGATAAATTGTATGATCTCTATCTAATCTCAATTTCAACTCACACATCTCTTAAAGCCGTATTAAATTTGGAAAAAAAATGCTCTCCATATGTAGACTCAGGTAAATATAATTGACAATCAATAAACTTGAATTGTTTCCTTCTATGTGTAGGACAAGTACAACACTGATAGTGGGAAAGTCACACATTTGCTGCTGCCAGCATACCACCAACTCCATTTGGGTCGTGCCATATACGAATAGAATGCAGACATCCTGCCTGCTCATTTTATTTATTAGCAGCTCAATCCTTCACTTTAAACTTAGGAATAAGACCCTACAGGTAGTATCTTCTTGTGCCCATGGGATCCACTACTCTGATCAAGACTCTGATTTTTTTTTTTAAAAAAAACCCTTATAATTAGTGCAACAGCTTATTTCAAAATAACTTGCAGAAGGGAGCTCCACTGGTCCTGACCCAAAAATGAGGGTGGTTTTTTGTGTGTGTGGTTAGAAGCAAGAGAGCCTCTTAGTGCAAGCAGTGAGCCCTGTTCCAGCAGAGGTGGACAGGCATTACTTGTTGAGATTGATGGGACTTACTTCAGGGGACTGTGTAGAGAACCACAACCTGAAATAGAATTGAGGGCCTCATGAACTGTGTGACAGATTCTGTATGCCTGAAGGAGCTTCGGACTTGTGTTTCTCGAGCAGTAGCCCACGCATAGCAAGCGTTGCATGAAACCGTCCAGAAGGTATGGCCAATATGGCTGTTTTTTCTCCGACCACCCATAAAATAGTTTACTAGGACTATGCAGGTCCTGAGACATGCTTACAGGTGTTATTTAGATCTCCCTCGTATATGAGACACCAGTGTGAGTACTAGTTACTCACTTTCCAAAAGTTGCCCAGCAGCTGTTCATCAATACAGCCAAGTTCCCATGCTTACTGTAAATGAGTGGTTCACAGAGTGGATAAAATTCTTAATCTGATAGGGATTGCTTATGATGATGTTGGTTGCTCCCAAATAATCTGTAAGTCAGCAAGAAGTCCTAGTAAAAGATGAGAAGAGGTGATGGGGAGGAAAATAAAAGTGGCCTGCCGAGTATTAAAGGTTGGTTGATGGAGTTGTGTGAAATATTGCGCTCTTCTGCACTTGAGAGTTGAGTCAGTAGGCTTTGGGCCCAACAATGATACAGACATTGCATGTTTTACATTGAGCTTCATTTTCTACTGTTGTTTATGCTAATCATTTGCTGGTGAGTGACTTACTGTTGTCACTTCCACCACCTTCTGTGCACGCACCTCTACAGTGGCCAATAAATTGTGGGCAGGAGGCATGACTTTTTAGCATACAAATGGGATTGGATTGTAGTTGGTTTGATTTGCTGTGAAAATGAATGATCGTGAGTACTGCTTCACAAAATATGTGATTCATAATGTTGTAGAACTGGTACAACACAAACATAAATGTGCCAGGTTAGGAAGGATAAAATTTTAAAACCTGTTAAATGTTTGAATTCTAGTGTTAAAAATGTGCAGGCTTTTGAGATCTTCAGACCTATTTATCCCATAAGATATAACCAAAAGCAGGTTGGCACTCGTAGCAGGGAGAATAGGAGGAGGAGTTAGACTCTGTCTGGAATATTGTGTCCAGTTCTGGGCACCAAGATTTAAGAAAGATGCAGAAAACTTAGAGAGGGCAACAGAATTGACCCAGAGTTTGGAAACACTGTCCTATGAGGAGAGACTGAGTGAACTGGGCATTTTCAATCTTGAGAAGGAAAGGCCCTCTGAGGGCGGGGGGGACATGATATCCCTCTATAAGTACCTCAAAGACTGTCACAAAGAGGAAGGCCAAGATCTCTTCTCGCTGATACCAGAGTGTAGGGCACAGAGTAATCAGATCAAGTAGTGTCAACCCAGATTCAGGCTAGATAGCAGGAAAGGTTTCCTGACTGTCAGAGCAATACAGTAGCGGAGCCAAATGCCTAGAGAGGTGGTGGGCTCTCCCACACTGGAGACATTCAGAAAGAAATTGCTCAGTCATCTGAGGGGGATAGTGCATATGGGTGTCCTGCAACAGCAGAAGGTTGGACCTGCTGGCTTTCTTGGCCCCTTCCAACTCTACTATTCCATGATTCTATGTAGGGAAAAACTCACTGACTGTTCTAGGCAAGTTGCCTGCATGATCATGGTCTTGAGGGTGGAAGAGGGGAGGAAGGGTCTGCACACACTCAAATAAGGTTATAACATAGAGGTGGGCAACTGATGGCCTTCCAGATATTTTGGCCTTAACTCCATTAGCCCTAGCCACTATAGCGAATGCTGAAAGGTCACGCACATTGTAGGCCAAAGCAAGTTGCTTTTCCCATGCTGTAGCAGGGGATAACTTCAGGCCTCACTTGGGAGTTACTGCAGCTGTCCTTGAATGGCTTGAAGGGAGAAGGGCAGAAACACCGAAGTCCCTCTCTTGAAAACAAAACCCACCTATTTCTCTGTGGGCCAAGCCCAGAGAAGATTCCGATCAAACTTTTCTGTCGTTGGTGCTTCTCGTAGCCCCAACATAGCCCTGTTAACTCCAGGACAAACTGGAAACCATCATGTTGCCAGCTAGAGCCTTATTTGAATTCTGGACATCCTATCTCCCTCTCTATGGTACTCTAGTTTTGCTGGTTGAAATGTTTTTTCACATGAAATGAGAGTTACTGTTCTGATAACGTTATTTGTATAGTTTATCAAAATGCTTTTTTGGAGCTTAAAAGTCTCCCTTCTGTTTGTAGGCTTTTCTTGAGTGACATGAGACCTTCACAAGTGGAGACCAAGTAAGAAGATGGGAGCGAACAGCAGCAGTATTAATGAGCTTCCAGAAAATGAGTACTTAAAAAGATTGTCGGGACAAGAAGTGATCTCGGAGAATGACCCATTTTGGAATCAGCTGCTTTCTTTTAGCTTTAACACACCAACTAACAGGTAATGTGTTTAGTAACTATGCAGTGATTTTCAGCTAAAGCAGCGGAAGTCTAAGGGTTTTTAGCCGATTTGGGTTGTCAGCCACTTAGAAGTGAAAATTTTTTTGCTCTTTGCCTACAGAAGGTGACTCTCCTTTTAAAAGGTGTTCCTTTGTTCCCTTTCTTTCCTTGGTTGCTGTAGCAAGTAGGACTTTGGTTTTGTCCTTCAGCAGCTAAGAGAGAAGGTTGCGTGAAGAAACTGGTGGATCCCTGGGGTGGGGGAAATACGGTAGATTCATCTCCTCTATTGCAGAGATTGTTTTATGTTGATAACCCCCCCCCAGCAATTCTAGCTGCCCTTCTTTCTGTTATTTATGCAGTGTTGTACTTCCAGCTGTCTCAAGAATGCTTATATTGGGGTGCATGACTGAGCCTGGGGTGCACAAACACACACACAGTCTCTTAGTCACATGCTCATTCTTCAGGAATCATGGCTCTGGGATTGCTGGCGGTGCGAGGCATCTTCAGCCTGCTCCTGTTCCAGCCACCTAGGAGCTTCAGGGTCACTGGGGAAGGGAACTCGGCCACCTGAACCCCATCACTACTTTACTGCATTCATTTTAGCATGGGGTTTTTAAATGGCAGCTGGGTATTTTGAAGGGCTGCCCTACAGGGTTTGGGTAGCTAAAGCTAGTGCCACTCTGGGTTACCTTCTGGCTGAGCACAATTATTCAACTCACCTGCAGGCAAAACCTGGAACTGCCTAGTGTTTTACTACTTCTCATTTTAGAAGGGCAGATTCTTTGCCTAACAGCACTTCGGGAAACAGATTAACATAGCCTGCATTTACATGAGCAGAAGGAAGCAATGTTGCCCATAACTCTTGATGATCTGAGTGTGAATACTTTTACTGTTTTTCTTTCTGAGTACTGCTTTCTTGACATAAGTGTTGAAGAATTAAAGAGTGTTAAGGTTTGGGCTGGATCCAAAGGAGAGCCAGTAGGACTTGAATATAAGGTCATGGCTCACTTTCATTCTGTAGGTTTCAAAGAGTCGCCTCTAAGTATGCCTAAGCCTGCACTGAACCCATGTTGATGCAAGCCTTCCAGTGCAGGTGGCTATGTTGGTTGATAATTGGGAATGGAGAATGTCACAGAAAGTGAAGCTCAAGGGGCGTAGCAGATCCATTCCTATAGCGATACTTTGCTGTGTGTGTGTGTCCCCTGTAGCAGTTTGGGTGAGCGTTATTGTTTGGTTTGTACCCAGTCAGTTGCTTGAGTGCCATGCCACTGATTTCTGGGATATTTGTCCCCCCACCACCCCACCAAACAATTTATTTAGGAATGAATTGATAATGCGATGCAGTATGTTGTGTTGAACACTAGATGGCAGTGCTGTATGACAGTTGAGTGACTGAGAGGTTATCATAGTGTAGGTTATCATTTAGCAATCAGAGTGCTTCAGATGTGAAGTGTTTCCCACATGGATACCACTTCCATATAGAATATGTGAGGCAGATTGCATCTTCACCGTTAATTGTCACGCCTTCCCTTTTTGCTATTCATAAACTAATTATGCACACAGGAATTTTTCTTTGTAATCTGCCCCTTCAGTTATCCTGACATATTTTGTCTCCTTAAGGTGGAAAGCTTTGGGTGTGGCAGTGCACAAATTAGAGATGGTGAATCAATAAACCTTGAGCTTACCAAGGTTCTCCAAACTCAACCTTAAGAGTTATGTCCATATCTGATTATGTGCTTTGTTTTGTATTTCCATGTGAAAATTTGTATGTATTTTGTGCATAGTTTATGCATCAGTTGTATGCATATTAGAAATGTACACATTGATTAATGTACGTTTCAGCAGTGTGCATTTTTCATGTCTATTATTTAGATGTGTCTTTGTTTGAATGCAGTTCTGTAAATCACGTTGCTTCCTTAGAAATAGACAGATTTTGACCACAGAGTTCACTGGGGTCTGTGTTTGGGTGCAAGAGGTGGAAACTAAGTAATTTCTGGTCAAGGACGAAGTGAAATAAATTTGTCATACATCCCTAACACAAAGTGAGAGGTACATCTTTCCCCCCTGCCTTGCAGTTAATGTATTTACTGTCCTTGATCTATGAGAGCTCTTAAAACTCTCAATAATACATTATCTGCACATTTGTTCCTGCATAAGTGTTACTTGCTTTATTGCTGGAAAATGTCAAGCTGAAGCAGAATTTGCAGGAAATCAAATTATTTCTCTTAATATTTACCATTTCACTTTGTTCTTTCCCTCTGATTCAATGGCCGATTGAAGAATAGTGTGTCTGAGACTTCTTAATGGAAAACATAGAAGTGGATGTCTTTTAAGTTGCCTTAATGCACACATTTTTTAAAAAAATTGGCACAATAAATTACACGCAGCTTTTACACGCTTCGATGCCTTTTCCTATGAATAGTCCATTAAAGTCTGTCGTATGAGTGCACTGAATGATAATGAGGAGCTCTTTACCTAGGAAAGGGGCAACAGCTTTCAAGAGGATTTCCGCCATAATTCCTTGCTCCACAGTTGCTTTGAAAGATGCAGTTTGTCAGGAGAGGGTGTCTGTGGATGAATACAGGTTCTCTTTCTCTGGAGTATATTCTCAAATCTTTTTAAAAGTTCTTTTCTGCTCTTAGAAGCCTGTTTATTAAATAAAAAAGATACTAGCGTGCTCCCCCTGCCCCAAATTTCTAAAGATGTTTATATTTTTTGTTCTTGAAGGGCATGTCTACTCCAGGGTTAATGAGTCAAAAGTATGACTGTTGCTGCCATACATTTGGACATGTTAACAACCTCATGTCTTGATATAAAGAACATGGGTGGCTTTGTTTTGGCTGACAAGCTGCTTGCAGTTCACAGGCAGTTCAAGTGAGACTATTGAACAAAAAGATGCATGTGTATTTCTTTTATGGGTTTTGCTTGTGTCTACTTATACTTAGAGGACAGAGAAAGGACTAGCTGTGCATTGTTCTTCCCTTGCTACTGAATGAAAAGGGTAATAGGAAAGAGGGATTTCTGTCCTCTGAAAGAAGAACCAAATTGGGCAAAAGATTCCTGAAATTTGGAAAGACAGTATATCTGGTGAGGCTTGGAAGAGAACATCAATCACCAGATTATTTATCTGGAAAATACATTGAAGTGTGCAGAAATGGCAGCGGCGTTGGCAGGATCAGCTCTCCACTCTTTGGTGTCTTGCAGTGCAGGTGAAAGAGGGAGTTTATGGTGGTTCCTTCGCTTGCAGCAGTAGGAATCCTAATCAGTGTGTTACAGAATTGTTGAAACCGTTGCTCCAGAGTCCATGAATTCAAGCTGGGAAACGTGGACTAAAACAGCAAGTCTGGGTACATTTTTAGTGTCACGTTCTTCAGCTTTGTTTGACTCACTTTAGCTGTTCAGTCAGTTACTGCTGCTGGTGTTGGGAAACAATTAAGCTTTCGTAGCTCTGCAAGATAATTATCATGGATTGTGCAAAGGTTTCATAAGAGCAGCACTGAAAGCCCGTCAGTTAACACATGGATTACTGTATTGGAAAGGCTACCCTAAAGTGTGTGCGCGCAGGCACGTGCGTGTGTCTCTTCGTAAGAATATGGCATGCACACATAATCTTCAACAAATGTATTTTTCTACTTTCAGCTGATGAACAAGTGTTCCTCTTTTGTAGACTAAGGCTGCAATCTTTTCCTTTCTAGGAAGCTGAACCTATTTTTGTATATATTAGAGAACCTATTTACTGCCTTCTCCAGGCTTTCCGGTGATTTAGGAAACTGCAGGCATTCCTCAGTCCCTGGAAGATGCAGGGGAGAGGAAGGCACTGCAGTGCTTTCTCCTTTCCAGTGCCTGCGTAGCTGCTTTGTGTCGTGCTGCCCATTGGTTGCACGGGACATTTGTCCTGGGCCCTGGTCACACTGGGGTGGGGAGAGCTGTTCATTTCTTCTTTTTACTACCACTGGCAGAAGTGGTGCCGCCGCCGCCGCCGCCTCCTCCTCCTCCTCCTCCTCTTCTTCGTCATCTTATTATTATTACTGCATTTATATCCCTCTTGTTCAGACCCTAAGGTGGCTTCTATATCTCCGTTTTATCCCCACAACAACAACCCTACGAGGTCGGTTGGGCTGAGAGCTTGTGACTGGTGCAGAGTCACCCAGCGAGCTCCGTGGCCGAGGTCCCAAGGCCAAGGGAACCATGCCAGAAGGGTGGTCCATGTATTCCTTGCCTGATTTGGCATAGGTGCTGCGACATTTAGTGACCCTTTTGGGGAGCAGATTGGTTATGGGGCCTCAAACTACGGCCCATGGGCTGGATCCGGCCCGCCATGCCCATTGATCCAGCCCGTCGTAGCTTGTCACCCGTATGCGCGCACGCATACGCATGTGGCGAGGCGCCGGCTTGCTCACCAGGAGATCGTTTTGGACTTGTTGAGAGAGAATGATCTCCGCACATGCATGCCCCTGCCTTTCTGCGCGTGTGCACATGTGCGCCCCCCCTCTCCCGGCCCACGCCCCCTGCCTGCACCACCCTGGTGGCCCGTGCCCATCCCTGGCACCTTTCAGCTGGCCCCCCTATTCAAAAAGTTTCAGGACCCCTGGAATAGGCCATCACAGGCAGGAAACCGTAGGCATAGCTTCAGTATTCCGTCGAACATGGGGTTTCCAGTGCTGCTGCCAGTCATCCGCAGATAAAGATGTACTGCATTCCAGTTGCTGGAGAGCCCAAGTGGGAGCTGTTGCGTCCAGGGCCTCCCAGGCAGCTGGGCTAGAGAGACCTTTGGCCTGCCTCAGCGTGGCAGTTTGCGCCTTCCCGTGCACGGGCGAAGCAGCCGTGGGGCCAGCCACGTCTTCCAGCGACACGCCGTTGGTCTTCCATCCTGACAGCATCTCATAGGAACACAGAAGGTCTATTTTCCAGGCTCACAAACTGTTTTGCAGGCATCTGCTTTTTCTTGGTTCTGGCTTTTTGTCCCTGGTTTGTAACTAATTTTTAACGAAGACCAGATTT